CAGAGTTCAAGTACTGTGTACAACACTTAAAGTGACTGACCACGTAGTGTCTTTGAACTCACCTGCAAAGATCTGGATGGAAAAGATTCAGGACCTCGTCCTCCTCAATGCCCCTGTGATACATCATGCCATCTGAAATAAATCAGAACTGGACTAAATCAACAAGAGAATGGATCTTGGTAAAAATGTTTGGCACCTCATCAGGGACACAATCAATTATCCTGCCTACTTGTCTGAATTAAACTTGAGTCATATTTGGTCAAGAAATGAAAGCAATACACCTTAGCGAAATATCATGAAAATCATCAATATGAAAATTCAATTTGGGGTAGAGTTTGAATACGACTTAAAACCTGATTTCATATTCGCAATAACAAGCATTCAACTTCGTTTTGCTACCTTCAAATAAATTTATGTGCATCACATTTCATTTAAGCGGTTACAAATAGTGATTGGGGTTTCGGTTTGACGCATTTGTGGCCAATTATAACAAAAGTACATTCTTATTCGCCGAAAATAATTATGTCTTTTACTGTGGCTCTTCAGAATTGAGCATTCATTTTCATTTGCTGTAATTCAAATTCGCAAAAATAAATGCCCCATTTGATAAGAAAATACAAAGTTACGCAAATCATGACACCACTTTGACAACAAATGTAATGTTACCCATGAAGGATTATAAACTGTACACAACTTAAGGTCTTTATGATTTTTCTGTACCTCCCCTTTCAACCATTGCAAGAAGGTAAATATGTGTGAGCTTCAACTTCACTGTATGATGTGATTGTGGCAAAAACGTAGCACAAGAAGGAAGGTTTCCACAGCCTCCATGTTTAAATTGGATTCCTATAATAGTCAGTATGTTTCCAAAGACAACATGAGTAGTTTATTTCAGTAATGAAAACATTTAACCAATCGACTAAACATTTCCAAGAATATAACAGGAAGAGTACCACATATGGACGCCAGCAATTATTCCCTACAGTGACCTATTAGACGTCAGAAAGCAAAACATGTCGAGAAAAATTCAATTTAGAAAGGAAAAACCTGAGTCGTTTAATTGGAAAACACTTAGAATTTTTCAGACTAGTCTCATAGGGCTAATGCATAGGGTGTCAAGTGGCGTCTGTATACGGAACTCTTTCTAATATAACTTTTGTACACGAGCAAATTCCAATTCTTGATCAGGCATATCTTAAATAACACATAGGTAGAATCACCTTCATATTTTGCCAAATAGATTGAGTTAAAATTAAACTGAATGCAGGAGTGCAGACGTACTAGGTGCATTCAATTTTGCAAAAATGAATGTCAATATACTAAAACTAGTGCATTATCAGGAAATTGAACCCTGATTTTATACAACCAAATGCACCCTTAATGAAATAGAATTTTTATTTGTTACAAAGGAACAGAGATTTGAAAGTTTGTTCTATTTCGCTCGAAAACGAAAGCTGGTATTCCTAATTCATTTACATATTTTCCAAAATTGGCCGGGAAAACCTATATTAAATGTAAGATTCCTCCACAACAGTTGAAACAATGAAGTTTAAAAAGCCACTTAAAGTTAGTTTTGCTAACAAATATCCAGTGGGCAAGTTAACAGTCCTGTGAGCTCCTGCTGTCAAAAAAATCAAGTTAACTTGCTCGACGGTCTGGTTAAAAAAGGTTTAAAGTTGAGGTCTGCAATACAAACAAAAGCCCCTCTACTTTACCTGATCCAGTGATCCTATTTGCCGACTCTGATTTCCAGTACGTCAGGTGGCTCATTCCGTTGAATTTATCGATTTGGTTGACCTTCATCTTGTTTCCCACCCCAGTGAACACTGTGTATAGGCCTAAAGGTGTATCGTTCCTCTGTTAGGAAATGTTCAGAGTTCAAACAAAATTATATGCAGGTCGACTCTTCCCAAACAGAGAGAGACTGTGAAAAATGCCACAAAGTTTCTGTCGATCGAGCAAAGGAGGAGAGTTGCTGAACAGCCAACAAATGAACTTTTTGTTTAATGGACTGTGAAGCAGTTTCTGCCAATTGGAATCAAACTGTCTAGATGTCTTCCTGCCTTAATGTTTCATGTTATTAAAGATGGTGATTAGTTTGTCGGCAGGCTGTCCCAATTATGAAAAGTCGATAGGGAGACATCTAAAAAACACAGGAATCTGAAACAATTTTGAGCTAGGTAAAAAACCAGCAATTTTTCAGAAGTTACATGACTTGGGAACAGTGGGCAGTGGGCATTAGCAAAAAAAGCTGCATTTACAATATGGGGGATTCACAAAAGTGCACTTCCAAGAATTTGCAATGTGTTGGCTAATCACAATGCACAAAATATGTCGACCCTTTCCAAATGCGCATTTGGTTGACAGAGTTTGCCCATTATAATTAGCCAGTGCGTTGCAATCTCTTGGACGTGCACTATTGTGAAGCACCCATACTGACATCAGCCTAATACAAATAGATCACCAGCCTCTGAGCTGAGTTACTGCTGCCAACTGCACCTAGGAAAACGGACAATACCATGACTAATTCCTCACCCCTAGCAGGAATCCAAACTGGGTCTCAAATCCCGGTGGGAGTGGGTAATCTGGCAGGTTTTCGTGCAACCACTTAAAGAGTGGTTCGTCATAGCCCCAAATCAGCTGGCGGACGGACAGACGCATGAAGGGCTCCTCCTTCTGAGAAGCCAGGAAAAGCGACAGGGCAGCTTTAATAAGTAATCCAGCATCTCTCACAAAGTAGACAGTAGACTGTGGACAAGGTTGAAAGAAATGTCAGGAAATGGAAAAATGTATATTTCTTGTGGGTTATCTTGCTCCTCTAGTCTTATTCTGCTCCCCTTGTTCTAATAATATTTTCCAACCTTATGCAACCCAAATAGAGCCTTCTGCAGTATGTAACGATGGAGGTCATAATGTGTACCCAACTTGCTAATCCAATCCATTGTTTTAGGGGAACTTTCCCACAGCCCTGACCAGGTATTTTCAGAGACAGAATGTCAGTTTCAATTGTTTGGGAGGTTAATCAAATTGAAGATTGCAGGTTGTTGGGACCTGGGAGAAAATCTGCAAATTCTGCTAATTAGCATGATTAGCAGAGTCACACAATGAACACAATGGGGAAGTTTATATGCAAACGCCACCATGCATATATATTTGTGTACATCAATACAGGCTTTCAGCGGATCCTGCAAAACTGTGACATAGTTAGGATCATTCATGGTGGCATATTGGGTCGCAGGAAAAACAGACTAGATGTTCCAGCCTGGTTAAGGCACCCCATACCATCATCTGGCTTGGGGGATATGTTTCATGGTCGCACTAAAAGTATCGTGCATCAAATCATCTTCTTTCTGCTAGTCTTCTTGAGCCCAAATTCATTGCACAAATGGCGAGAAATGTTGCTGACACCATTTCCTACCTCCATGCTTACACAAACAACAAAGGTTCCTTGACCTTAAACACCAGCTGTTTTCAGCTGGATTCATTGTTTACTGACACTTTCCTTGACTGTTCCTGTCTTTGCTACTGATAGCCTTGACCCCAATGCACCTCTAAAATTGTTTTTCAGTCTGGGGGTCAACTTTACATGTTATGGACCTGGGTCCACCAGTTCAAGGTTCAACCTATGTGGATCTCTTTTGTTCATGGGTCCACACTAGTATGTATATGTATGCATCATATGCAATGTTGTCACACATCTATCTGCTGGAAATTCGCAGTGTATAAGTCGTCACGTGAAAATCTTGGAAGTATAAACTGCAAAATATAGTGCATAAAGGGATATCGACCCACTTTTTCGTGACCCAGTCAACTTATATATGTAACCTCTGTCACAAAAAAGTACGTATGTCATGTCTATGTGCTCATTCAAGTGATCTTCTGGCAGTCTGGGTAAGCTTTACAGCTGGCATACTGAGGCTGTACTTTTGAACTGGGATATGCCAAATGTATTGAGAGTTCAGGGCACTTCCACATGAAATTTGATTAACCGGTATATGTGACAGTTGCTGAAGGGCAGAGGCAATGGAAGTTTCTGAATACAACCTCCAAGTTGGCAAACAATTTTATGTAAGAAAACTCAAATCTTGCTTCACTCTACAGCCAGGAGGTAAATCCTCCATTTACTCAGGTTCATCTATATCGAGCCTGATTTGTTCTTACATGTATTCCAAATCAATTCAGGAAAATTATTTCCTTGTCATATAATGTAACTTTCCGAGCTCTTCCAATATGTGCTTTCTAAAAGTATGTGCACAGAAATCTAGAGGATACTTTAGTCAATTCTCCCCCGATTACATGTACATGCAAGTCGTGTATCCCAGTTTGAAGATGGTTTTCTCCACTGGTTGTCCCAATTATTTTTCATCCCTACAAGAATTTCTAAAGGATCGGACCTGTCCCTTGAGCATGTAACCCTATAAGTGGTATTTCCTTTCAACTGTGTATAATGCCTTGGCATTCAATACTTGTTTGTCTGCAACCTTACAGGTACCTTTCACAAACTCCCACAACTCTTCAATGGGATTGACTTTGTTCTTCGTCAAGAAATCCTTCACCATCTTGGATCTGGGACATGGAGTGCCACCATGCATAAATGTTTCATATTTGCGTACATCAATACAGGCTTTCAGCTGATCCTGCAAGACTTTGAAATATTTAGGATCATTCATGGTGGTATATTGGGTGGCAGGAAAAACAGCCAAGATGTTCCAGCCTGGTTAAAGCACCGGGCCAATACCATCATCTGGCTGGGGGGATATGTTTCATGGTCACACTAGGTACATTTGATCATGCATCAAATCTGTTTCTGCCAGTCCTTTGGACATAGACCATGTGTGATACAAACTATTGCACCGTAGATTTTTCTGAATGTTAAACTTTCATCCAGTCTTATGCAGTCAGCAAAGCTTAACTACATGTACATGTACTTCATCTCCAACTGCCTTGGTCAGAAGGGATTTACATGCAGGTTTGTGTGGCTTGATCTTAAATTCAATGCTCAAATGGTGAGATGTGATGGTGCTTACACTAACAACAAGGGTTTCTGGGGTGTGAATTAACACCAGCTGTTTTCAGCTGGAGTTTCGTTGATGGTTTCCTCATTTACCTGTTCCTCTCCCTGGTTGCTAGGGATAATTCTGACCTTAACACACCTCTAAAACCTTTTTTCAGTGTGGGGTAGCTTGATATGGACCCGATGGGTCAGTCCGTTCCAGGTTCACACAACCTGCATTATGTGGACCTATTTTGTTCACACAATATGCACATGCCATACCGTGTACATGTACATGTATGTACGGTAAGGTAGGCACACACTCAAATCAGCCGGAAATTAAGCGTAAAAGTTCATCATGGGAAAATCTTGGCTTGTCTGCCCTGTGCAGTTACAGCTAATATAAACCAGAACTGTACAAGCAATCACATGATGCAACACCGGAAAGGCAAAAGTGCCGGTCCTTAGTTGTCAAGAATGGTAAAGTACATATACACATGTCACTGCAGTACTTTTCAAAGTTTAAAAAAACAACCGAGGTCACGAAGAAATTGCTAATTGTCATTCCTGCAGCCAACTCTATTTATGCAGTGACTTCAACATTAAACTTGTGCTGTGCTGTGCTGTGCATGTGCATATGGAATGGATAGATTATAGGCATGTACAGGGGCGCAAATCTATACTGGAAATGGCGGGGGGGGGAGGAATTGGGAAAGGTGGAGGAATGACTGCCCAGCCATGGAAATTTGAAATGCGGATGGGGGAACACCATAATAGGAGTGATGTTCATGATAAAGATGAACTGGTAAATCTATAATGTGTATCAAATGCATTCGCAGAGTCTTCCATTAGAATGGTACATTTATGGCTTTTTTAAAATTGCTTTCCCTTTTCAGTGATATTGCAAACATTTTAGTTGTTGGGAAATTCCGAAAAGTCTTCACAATCCGCTTAAATTTTTTTGCTTATCCCAAAAAGGTGGGGGATATATACACCATCCCCCTGGGATTTACACCCATGGGCATGTACATGTAAAAATAATATCTTGATAGAGTCAAAATTTCTTGGCACAAGTCTACGCACCCTACAAACTAGCTGTTTCCAACTGGAAGTATAAACTGCAAAATATAGTGCATTTGGAGACCCACTTTTTCCAGACTAGTCTGGTGGATTCAATAGACTTTTCAGATGTTTTACAGTTTCAGACTTTCCCTTCTGTGTAAGCTTTACAGCGGGCACACTACTTTTTGAACTGGGACATGTCAAATGTATCGAACTTTGAGAGCGGTACCGGTATGTCAGTGTGACAGTTGCTAAAGGGCAGAGGCAATGCAAGTTTCTGAATACAGTACTTACAAACCTCCAAGTTGGCGAACAATTTTATGTAAGAAAACTTAAATGCTGGTAGTTTACAGCCATGAGGTAACTCCTCTGTTGATTTAATTCATCTATATCGGGTCTGTTTTGTTTTTATTCCAAATCAATTCAAGAAAATTATTTCCTTGTCATATAATGTAACTTCCTGAGCTCTTTCAATATGTGCTTTCTAAAAGTAGTTGTAATGCACAGAATTCTAGAAGACTCACATTTAAAGTCAAACCTCACTTTAATCAATTTTCTTCAGAGTACATGTAAGTCGCATATCCCAGTTTGAAGATTTTTTTTCTCCACTTGTTGTCCGAATTATTTTTCATCCCTACGATAATTTCTAAAGGAGGATCTGTTCCTTGAGTACATAACCCTATTACAGTGGTCTTCAAACTCCTTATTTGGTATCATACAACCATCCCCAGCTTCACAATAGGCTTGGACAGAACTGCATTTTTTTACTACCACGATATTCGTAATACTGCAATATTCACTAACATCATGATATTCTTTGAAGTGGCTATTAAGCGTGCGTCACCAAAAAGAAACAGAGATAAGCAGAGACATTCACTGAGAATGCCAGCAACTACTTCTGACTTCCAGTTGGACTCTAACTAGCAACAAGTAGGCCTTCACCAGTACCACAAACACAATGACGGGGGGGGGAGAATAAAACTTCAAAGGCCTTTGACTGGTGGATCAGCAGTTGTTTTAAGTTTCATGACATGTTACCAAGTCCAAGTGTCAATGTAGACAATAGACATGATACTGGATGACTTGAACCACAAGAGATGGAGAGAAATAAGACAGTGGCTTTCCTATATTTTCAAAGCATATTAGCAACAATACCATGGTGTCAAAATTCTGTGAGGTATTTGCCATTATTTTGGTATTTTTGGACCACCAGTCGGTACTTTTTGGAATGGAAAAAATACTGCCACTATTTGATAATACCAAAATACTGTCCAAGCCTACCTCACGGGCATTCTTGTCAGGAAAGTTCACAACAAATCCTACTACACCCACACATTGTTCCAATGTAGAATATTGGTTGAAACATGACATACATGTAATATCTATGTTGAATTAATGTCAAAACAACAATAGGCATCAGAACAAGTGGACACATGACTTTGGTTCGACGTTGAACAAGGGTTGAAACATGACAAACAGTGTATGTGTACTTTCACTGTTGAATACGTCTTGTGCCCACTGTTACCCACTGAATGACACAAGTTTTTAAGAAGCATCAAACCCATGGACATTGTTAAGTATGGAAAGAACACTTGTTGATTGTTATGATGTGGGATGTGGTGTTTTGGACATCCTTGGGTACGCACGCAGCAACCTCGCCTTGGGCTCAACAGGTACATGTACATGTGTGCGT